CACTTTGTTTGTAACTCTGTATTGTCTGTATTGTGCTTGTGATATGTTGTAAAATGTTGTATGTCTGTTAATGTTTCCCTCCTTTTATCTTTAAAATAAGTAAAAAAAAAAATAAATGCACACACAATCTGACTGCAATATATGAAGGTGCTATAGAAGCACGGGGTCCAGAAAACTGATAAAAATTAGAGGCCTATGGGGTGTTCTGAGTGAAAGGACCATATGGGCTGAACACCATAAATGAGCAAGATAATGACTGATAGTAAAAGGAAAAGCTAGAGTTGCACAGTATAAGCAGGTGCACCTTTCCCTTCTCTGCTTGGCACTGGAGTGTCATAGGGTGAGAATGTCAGATTTCAACTAAATGCACATACCGACTCATTACATAACTCAGGAATTAGAACAGGCAATCAGACACTGTCAGTTGATTGCCCCTGAGATGATGCCTAAAGATGGGACTGTTGAAAGACATACTGAGCAGGGGCTGTAGCTCAGCAACACAGCACCTTGCTTGGCAAGCACAGGGTCCTGAGTTCGACTCCCCATACCAAAAGAATAACCAAACAAAGAGATACTGAGTATCTGATTCATTATATCTTATATCCCAATGTGAAATAATTTTCAACTCATATATACAACAGCTCAGGTATTTCCATGTGAAATAATAGAAGGTTTCCAGCTAACACTGGCTATATTCTAAGAAATAAAAGCATGAAGAATTGTATAGAAGTCTCTGGTATAAGAATCGGGGGCTCTTCTTTCCATAATGGAATTAACCAAGCTCAGCTCAAAAGCAAATGTTTCTTCTGGGAAAATCTTGTCACTGTCCAGGTATTTGCTGGTTCTAAAGAACCAGTCATCTACCAATTCATGATGAATGTAAGAATTGTATACTACAAACATGTACTAATAAAAGTTTAAAAAGAACCAGATCATAGAAACCTGAACTAAAGGACTTTCTTTTATCAGGAGATATTGAAAATGAGGAATTTTAATTGACTAGCATCTTTAATCAACAGTTTGAAGTGAATTAGAACAGTATTTCCCAAACTGTGTCCCCCAGAACACTAGCTTCATGAAATGTTAAAAGTATCCTGAGAAAAGACTCACCAAATAAATTTGCAAAACATCAGATATTATCATTCTTCTTTGAAAGCTTTGCAGTATAAAACTGTAACTTAGAAAAATCGGTAAAACACTGCTTAACCTGGTTTCCCAAACTATTTGTTCATATGTGTCTTTGAAGAACACAAAGTAATATCTAAAATGACTAATTTTGAAATACTGAATCCAAAAAAAGTCACACACGACGAATTCTAAGACAGTGCCTACTGTCCTCAATTTGGTTTTTAGTTAGTGTGGTGACAAAATGACGTTTGCAGTTATGAGTGTCTGCGTAACCATCACCTCTGTCCTTCATTGTCCAGTATGTGAGAAAACATTAGTGAATGAAGCTTTCAAATTGCTTGGATTCTGAGGGAGAAATGGCATTCACTTCTTGTAGCTTTCTTGTTGGGTGACTAACCATTCCAACTGATATGTTGACATGCCTGCATTTTGAGTGTTTACAGAAAGGTTAGTGTCAAAGACATTAATGTCCTGGTGGGCTTGTGTTTTTCTCTGAGGCAGATATTGATGAATGTGCAGAGGGGATCATTGAGTGCCACAACCATTCCCGCTGCGTTAACCTGCCAGGGTGGTACCATTGTGAGTGCAGAACCGGTTTCCATGACGATGGGACCTATTCACAGTCCGGGAAGTCCTGTATTGGTAAGCAGCTTTCAGCCGTGCCCTCCATCCCCCTGGGCCTGCACAGGACAGACAGGTTTTTTTGGTGTCTACTCAGCTCTCAGTGTTAAAGTAAGACCACTCTCTGGTTAAATTCATCAATATGCAAAATTTCTCCAAGTTTCTTCCCTCTGCAACTTAGAGATTAAGTCAGGGATTACATTGTGGGGAGCTTCAGAAGTTTTGTATAGAAAAGGCAGCAGTCAGAAGAACAAAACCTATATGCTAAGGGTGTTTAATTCTTGCTGAGGAAAATCATGACGACTCTCTGAAATCTCCGACAGGTTGAGAAGCAGCTGTGGAAAGAGGAAATAGTGCTGGATTTAGAACTGGAAAGCTCAGTTTAATCCCAGCTTCTGCCCTTTAAAAGCCACTGTATTCTCTGATCCTTCATCTGTGTTTACATAAAAATGAAGGCAATAATACACACATATTATTAGGATTAAATGGGATGCTGCATATTTAAAAATCATGAGCTTTGAATTACCTATACAATGCAGTTGCATTAACCTTTTTATGATCGCTGTAGCTACCCCCATTATCTCCTGCAAAGTCACCTCTAATTGCTGTTCTGCTTGTGGTTCTATTAAAAGCTGAATGGGGGGTGGGTATCAAATGGAGTTCTTTATATTTTAAGACCTTAAAACTTTGATGGAATGCAAACAACTGATCAAAAATATGACTGTTTCCATGGGAACCTTGGCCAGTCCAATTCGTTCATGTCATGCGGACTTACTTGAATTCTCAATGCTAGGTAGACCCAGAGGGCAAGCATTCTGACCCAGCATGCAGAAAGTCTGGTACTGAATCATATCGTGGGAATTTGATTTTGAAATTTCCTTCTCTGTGCTCTTTGTGCACCTTTTTATTCTGAAGTGTGCTACTGAGAGCCAGCCGATGCTTTTCCAACATTTGCACCAGTGGTTTTCCAGAGCAAAGATGCAGTAAGGAACAGTAGGCGCATGGCACGACTTGTCCCTCATGGTCTTACTATCACTGTGGAGCAGCAGGTAGTGTCACAGTCAGAAGCACAGACCCTTGGACCAGACTTCCAGAGCCAAATTCCAGCTCCTCCACTTCTTCTTCTTCTAAGTCGCTTACCTTGGGCAAATTCTTATCTAGACTGTACTTCACCAATCTAATTTGTAAAAAGAAATAATGTTTATATAGAATTACACTGAGCATTATGATAATGAATTGAATTAATATCTGTAAAGCATTCACTAGTTGTTAGCTAGTATTATCAACATCGTGCATATTCAGCATTCTTCCCCTACTCTGTCCATGTTTCTTTTCAGTGATCCACAACTGCATGGAGATGTTCTTATTTGCGAAGGGTCTTCACGTACATTATGTCCTGCCAGGTGCACCTGTGCATGTGCTGCCTGCTTCGAATAGGTGTTACATGAACAGGACTGGATCAAATGGCTGTGGAGATAGAATATAATATATGACACTAACACTGGGGGTCTAAAATAAAATTGTAATTCTTACCAATTATATTTGACATCAAGAAGGGAGAGCCTTAGGTTTTAAGTGCATGCAGCTCCTTAGCAATCATCAAGAAAAAAAGAAATACTTATAACTATCTGGACAGACCATGTTGTTTCATCTTGGGGACTTTGCATATCCTCTCCTGGTAGGACATGGGATTTGTTTATTTTCCTGGATTTAGGTCATGTGTCACTGTGATATATTCTTTTATGTCTTCATTAGAAGAATTGCTCCTCTGTTCTGCCAGCTCTAGACCTTGTAGCCTGGTGTAAATTTCAGTAGCTCCGCTCATTGTACTATCATGCACTTTCCTTGCTCTTTGAGCAGACTTTGGGTGGGAAATGTACTTTTTCCTCTATATTTCCTGTGAGACTCTTTGGTAGTTGATGTTCAATAAACAAGAAAATGTGATCAAGCCCTGTTGACTGGTAAAGAAATCAGACAGGATGATGCCTTGCTCAGCGCCCCACAGCTGGTTTGAGGCTAGCTTAGGTCTCAAGCTTAGCACAGGGGGTCCATTACATCGAAATGCCAAAGAGAGCCCTCATGTGCACTTTTGTTCTGACACAGTTATCCCCAGTGCCTTGTCATTCATAAACGTAACCATTAGGATGACAGATGTCACAGTCACACTGCATAGCACCTATCCCTGTGCTGGTTTCTCTGCCATGTTGAGTGGCATCGTGTGTGTGTGTGTGTGTGTGTGTGTGTGTGTGTGTGTGTGTGTGCACACGTGTGCTTCCTGCACTGAGGAAGCAACGACTTTGTCTGTGAATTGATCCTTGCTCTGCACAGGAAAATCTCAGCAAACCAGACATCTTAACAAAGGAAGAGAGTTGTTTTCATTGACAGCATTTTTAATTTGGGTAATCATTCATCAGAATTCCTAGAAGTCCATGGTAAATATCTTCATATGTACAGACATCTGATCATCATGTGAGGTTTCTTTGGTAGTTGAGAGCATTCTGATGGGTCAGAGGACCTCCTAAATTGGATCAAGCCCCTTTCATGTTGTGACACCTAATACCATCTATTGAATGTAAATAAATGTTCTCATTCCACATAACCTTCAACCTGAGCTGTCTCTGCCTACTTCTCGGATTCATCTCCTAGGTGTTAGCCTGTTTGTTCTCTTCATGCCTTGAACACAGTGAGGAGCTCCTCTCTGCCGCCACGTTCAGGGTGTTTGCCTTTGCTGGTCTCTCTGAAGCCCTCAGTGTCTGTCTTGTGGCTTGGGCATCTCATTATTTAGGTCACATATCAAATATTGCTTCTTCAGGGAGGCCTTCTCTGACTATTTTGTGTTCCTCTGGCACTTCATTAAATATACTGTTTATATATATTTTAAGTTCTCAAATATATTGTACATGAACATCCACGTAATTTTCTCTTGCCACACACTTACAAGTTCCTCAAGGGCAAAGACTTTGTCTGTTTCTCAGCACTGCACCTTCAGCCCTTAGAATAACACAGATGAATCATAGACTCTGCCTGACCTGTGTGAAACGATGGAAGGTACAGACATTCAGAACCACAAAGATCACATTTATTTTCTATTTGGTTTGACATAGGTTGTTACATATGACAACACCAATGAATTCTATTATTGAGAACAAACGTAATACCAACGCTGCATGAAGACTTTGGGGAACATAATTATGAACAAGTGAAGGTATTTGTTCTTGAGGGATTTATGACCTGAAATACTCTGAATTATAATAACATAGCTCAGTGGCACTGAAAATTAGCACATCAAAATAAGCCCTAGCTGACATCAGCCACTAATGCTCACATTTAAGAGGAGAAGCAACATCTAAAACAATCTTTTTAAAAAAATGGTCTTGCAGCATGTACTCAGCTATCCTTTTCCTCCAGACAGTGGTGTCAGAATATAAATATGAGGCAGTTCAGGCTTTTGGAAGAATGTCTTCTGTCACTCGTGCCACTTTTTGTCAGATGAGGGCAATAGGACCTGCTGTATGGAATTCAGTACAGGTTGTTACAGTACATATTGAGAATTACTGATACCAGAAAGAACAGGACTTCTGTAAGACTTATTATTTTATGAGAAAAACTGTTTACAGTTTGTCCTTTTCTTCTAAAATACAAGGTGTGATTAATAAATGTGGAGAATGTTTAATTTTTATAACTAAGTTTATTGGTGCATTTAGATGTACATAATAATCATGTTCATCATAGGAAATTTGTACCGGTACATGGATACATTTTGATTTCTCTTCGTTCTGAATCTCCCCTCCCCTCCCTTCAACCCATCTTCTCTTCCCTATTTACAAAGCTTTGTTTCCATTTTATCTTTTTTTAAATAATCTTTCCCCTTTTCCCTTCCTTCCTTTCCCCTTTCCACTGCCCTGGTACCTCTTTCCTTTTGAACAATTTCTTCCCATTTCACAATACCTATTCTACATTTTTATCTTTACTTTCCGTTTCTCACACCAGGGAGACAATGCGATGATTACACACATGAGTCCAATTTATTTCACTTAAGCATATGGTCTCAAGTTGCATCCATTTACCTAGAAATAGCTCAAATTTACCCTTGTCAGATGAAGAAACACGAACGGCAAACACATATATAGGAAAAAATGAATGACGAAATTTAAAAGAATTATAGTAAAAGGCAAATTGCCAGTTATCTCCCAAACATACTCCCACTCTCAGCTTTGAACAACCTTACTTCATTATTTTTGCCACTTTCGGAAGCAGCTCTGGAGCCCTCTTTCCTGGGTGTCTTTAGTTACTCTGCCTTGGAGATCTCATTGTTCTAAGCCATTTACCTTCCATGGTCATTTTGACTTTGGAAAAAGCCATAAATTGCAGTTTGCCAGACCCAGTGAATAAGGTAGATGAAGACACACATCATGGTTTTTCAAAGCTTCCTTTCCTTTGGATGGCACTGTCGTTGGATCACACCTCAGAATAACAATCACAAAGAAGACTTCCAACACTGCTTCAGACAGTGGCAGGAGCAAAGGGGCGAGTGCTTTTGAAGCAACAGGAAGTATTTTTCAGGGAGTTAGTAGTGCTATGCCTTTCACTGTAACAATTTTTAAGATTTAAGTACTCATCATGTATTTCAATCATACCTCATAGGTTATATGATTAAAGAAATGAATGGTTCTAGGTATTAGAGTAGCAAATAAGATCACCATTCTTGAGAAACTTGCCTCTTTCTCTCCTCTTTTCCCTCCTTGCCATCTAATTTGCTTGTGTATCTTGTTAAGGTCAAAGAAGAGCAAAAAATTTAGTATTTTCAAAGGTGTGAAAGTGAGCTTTTGTTTAATGCTGTGTTTTGATACTGTAGTAGAGGTAGTCAACAATGTGCGGTTTTAATGTGGACGTTACTTTTTTATCTAGACATGGTGGTCTGGACCATTTAGAAATCAGAAAAGTTAACATAACTACTGAGGGCATGGGTAAAGAACAGTGTTTTTCATATTTTTAAAACACTATTCAGACTTCCATCTATG